TACATGTATACATACATACTTACATACATATGTATGATACATGCCGAACCAAGAATTACATTAATACATACTATCTCGAAAATATTCACATGACGTTCAGCATTTTTATTATTGTAAATATGTATATATACATGTATGTATGTAAAAACAAAAATACAGTAAAGGAAATTTAAAATAAATGCATATTTCAACATAATCAAAATGAATCCACTTTATTACTAAACACACAGATCCATAAGTACACACATACATACAACAAAAAAGAAGCGGTTTGAACTCACACACACACACACACACACACACTCACTCGCACACAATCGAGAACAATATTAATTGGAAAGAATAATAAAATAATTTAGAAATCATTTCGAAAATTTAACCAGAAGTTTTTATGAGGGAAACGAACAAAAATGAAAAACAACGGGAAGACTTAACAAACAGAAATCACACAAAAACAAGAAAGAAAAAAAGCCGTAAAGAAATAACAATATGAGAATAGAAAATAAAGGTTATACGAGAATTTATAAGTGCCTGACTGTGTTTGGAGGGCGCACGTACACGCATTAGTGCGGATGCGCAAGCGCATGTGTACATACTTATGGGTGTATACATATATGGATTTTGTTGTTTTACAAATATTAACATTAAATGTAAATGAATGATGTGCTCATGTTTGTAGGTGGGTGTATGAATAAATAAAATTTCATAAATACAGCAATGTGCTGTGAATTGTTTAGAAATCTTTTGTGTAAATATTTAGAGACATTTCTACACACATATGTACATGCGTACATTTTTACACATTTTTAAACCACATTTTAAACGAGTATAGATACATATGTACTCGTACAGACATATGAACATAAATTTTAAACTATGAAGAAAATATAAAAGAAAGAAATAAAGTACCGTTACATGAATCTTTCGAAAAATTAGTAGAGAATTTCTTGTTCGACTTTTTTCATTTCGAATTATTTTGGTTCATTTTATTTTATTAAGTTATCTATTTTACTTTATCATATTTCAATTTATTTACTTTAATTAAAATTTTTATTTTATTCACTATTATTTTTATTTTATGTTATTCAATTTATTTTAATAAATTTTTTTGTATTCAATGTTAATTATATTTATTTCAAATAATGTTATTTAATGTTATTATTATTACTTTTTTAATTTAATTTTTGTATTTAAATTTACTTTCTTATTGTATTTAAATTTACTTTCTTTTTTTATTTATTTTTTGTTATTTAATTTTATTTTACTTGTTTTATTTTATATTATTTCATTTTATTTTATTTCATTTTATTTTATTTTATTTTGACTTATTTCTTTTGTTTTCTAATATTTTAGTTTATTTCATTGGATTTAAATTTTTATTTTTAATTTTAAGTTTTTAATTTATTCTACTTTTTTTTATTTTATGTTAACTAATTTTATTTTATGTTATTTAATTTAATTTTTTTTCTAAGAATATTTTATTTTTTTATATTTTAATTTTATTTTAATTTTTGTTATTTAATTTTATTGAATTTTCTTTATTTTATTTTATGTTATTTAATTTAATTTTAAGTTTTTTATTTTCTTTAACTTAAACTTTAACTTTATTTTATTTTATGTTATTTTATATTATATTATATTATTTTATTTTATTTTATTTAATTTTTTAATTTTTTTTTTTTTAATTTTTTTTTTATTTTAATTTTTTTATTTTATTTTATTTTATTTTATTTTATTTTATTTTATTTTATTTTATTTTATTTTATTTTATTTTATTTTATTATATTTTGTTTTATTTTAATTTTATTTCATTTTATTTTATCTTATGTTTTTTAATTAATTTAGACTCTAATTGTTTTTATTTTTTTATATTAATTTATTGTATTGTATTTATTTTACTTTTCTATACTTTATTTATTTCATTTTAAGTAAACGAATATACATGTTTGTATGTGTATATGTGTGTAAACATGCGTCAAATTTCATTCAAAAACACTAACATACACATGAATGTACATATGTACATAAATTTCAAACATATCAACAAAATATAAAAGATATAAATAAAATACCGTTATATGAACCTTTCCAAAAATAAATAGAAAATAATCAAAATAACAAAAGTGGAATGGTGAAAATTCAAGTTATAAAAGTACGCACGTAGGCAAGTAAATGCACATTTATTTATGTATACCCATATGTACATCCATGCATATATAAATAGTTATAAATTTGTACATGTGTATGTAACAAATGTGAGTGTAATAAAACTTCCTTACATTTAATGTTCGAACAGAAACTTGATTTATTAGAGCATACTTACACATACGTATGTATGTACATATGTACATATAGTCGAGTTACAATCATTTCAAGAAAAATATGATAAATGAATTATGTCAATATATATATATATATTTTTTTACAAACACGCACATGTCTGTATATTTTATTTTACTTCTGACTACAGTGGGGACTAGAGTAAAATATTTAAATAAATAAATAATAAAAATAAATAAATAGAATTAGATACTTTTCGAGTGGTATCTCGACCAATTTTGATTTGATTTCCGGCCATGCAACGAAGCTCCATTATTTCTTCAACAAAATTCTTTGTATAGAGCGATGGTATTTGACGGGTTCAGAACAAAAAAAAAGCTGGGTGTTAGATGAGTCGGTTGAAGGAGTACTCACTGCTTGGTCGACATACATATGTACGTTGGATGTATTCTGGTCGAGTCCCTAAGTCGATTACAATATTCTGACCTTAATTGCTAAAGCATTACTCGAGTGTCACGAAACAGCTCGACGACCAGGTCTCTAATAGGTGGTAGGTGGGTTATAAAATCGAAAGATAAAAAAGGTTTTGGTTGGCATTGCATGAACGACGTGTAAAGGCTAAAAAGTCTGGGATGCGGTTTAGCTTCGAGTGAGCTCTCTTCGGTAGCACCACCGCAGATATGACAAGCCACTGCTCTTCTCCTAGGAGTATAGGTAGATGTCTCGCAAAAATTGTGAAACAGTTACGACATAAATAAGTTTCCTGTTACGTTTTTCAAGACGCTGTTTTGAGAGGTCTATAAGCTCCCCATATGTGTCGCAGAATGAATGAATGGAGGAAACACTTTTCCACCCTACTGAATGGCAGAGAAAAGAGACACTAGGAGATGATGCTTTACAAGATTTTGACGCAGTTGGGATGGCTACTCGAATCACTTTTAATCAAAGGAAGTTTTTAACTTCTTGTGCGGAAAGAAAAGGTTGGAAAAAAAGATAAGTTTTGGTAACAATGTTTATTTGTACATCAAGTTCGTTTGAAATATCTCAAAAAATGAGGTACTATTTGTTGGATCCAGGGAGGTGAGCTAGTGAAGGATACCCAGAGTATACTGAACAAAGCGGCGGGTCCGATGGATAATCGGTCCGTGAAAATAGAATCGACACACATCACCATTTCACCGATTTTAAAGCAACCTTCGACAGCACAAGAAGGAGCTGCCTCTGACCTTCACCAACACTAAAAGCTCCGACAGAATCGGGAAGGACCTTTTCGAGCCGTTCGATCCTATTGAGGTTTCAGACAGGGTGATTCCTTAGCGTGTGATTGCTTCAATTTGATGCTGGAGAAAATAATTCGAGCTGCAGAGCTGAATAGAGAAGGTACAATCTTCTATAAAAGTGTAGAGCAGCTGACGCCGATGATAGTGATATCATTGGCCTCAGCAACCGCGCCGTGAGTTCTACTTTCTCCAGACTGAATAAGAAAGCGAAGGATATGGGTATGGTTGTGAACGAAGGCAAGACGAAATAACCCTCTGTCATCACACAAACAGTCATCGGCTCCCATGTCACTGTTGACAGTCATAATTTTGAAGTCGTAGATAATTTCGTCTATCTTGGAACCAGTATTAACACCAACAACAATGTAAACCTGGGAATCCAACGAAGAATAACTCTTGTTAACAGAGTTGAGTAAGTAGGAAATTAAAAAGTAAAGTCCTCTCTCGGTGAACGAAAACCAAACTCTACAAGTTGCTCATCATACCCGTTCTACTATATGGCGCAGAAGCGTGGACGATGTCAACATTTGATGAGAGTCGGCCCTATGAGTCTTGGCGAGGAAAGTTTTGCGAACGGCGAATGAGGGGACAGCGGCTACGTTGGCTAGGTCATGTCCTGCGATGCAGTACTCGCTGGTGGAAGCAGAGCAAGAGGAAGAGCGAACTGGTTTAACTTGGTATTTCTAACTGGCGACAAACAGTGAAAAGAAGGAAGAGATGAATAGTATTGATTCGACTTTAATGTAAAGCGGTGCAAACGCCAATAAATAAGAAGAAAATGTTTCGTGCAAATGGAGGAACGGACAGATGGGCATGACTAAATCAATTCAACTCATCATCTTTATCCGATCGGTATACCTTTTTAAAGGGGTATCTCTCTTCCTCCATATACAGGAAAGGTATGCATTTCAAAAGAAATATTCAATTTGATCTTCTTATTCAAACACAACTCTCAAGACACATAACAGCTTAAAACGTTGTGAAATTATTTCTTCAACAACCTATAAATAGATAGGAATTAAAAAGAGAACCCTTTTCAGGTAAAACGATCAATAGAATATTTAAGGAAAGAAAGAACTGGAAACATAATTAATTCCACATCAGTTCTTTCATACGTTTCCATATGCTTAAATGTATACAAATGTATGGTTATAAATACAAAACAAGAACTATTATTGTATACATACATATATGTTTGTATATATGTATATATTATATGTATGTAGATATGCAATGCACTTAAAAAATATACAGAAGATCTGCAAAATACATTCCTATTGAAGTCATAATAAAGCATATCAAACAAAATACACAAAGATATGTACATATGTGTATGTGAATATGTATTCATATGCTTATAAACACACACACACTTGCATGCGTACAATGACTCCCCTAATATGCAAATGTGATTAATTTATATGTCTACATTTTAAATACCTTCACATCGGCCAATGTAGTGATTTTCTGCCACAACGAATCTTCGCCAAATATCGAAATCATTTGCGTGCAGCCCACATTTGTTGAGATGCAGATGCGGCAAAGTTGCACATTGTTCGCTTCCATTTTGCGGCGACAACGGGCAATGACGACGACGGTGACGACGGTGGCGACGACCAGCGCAGCAGCATTTGCGCTAGTTTACAACAAGCTGCGCCCGAACGATGCGATGCGTTGAATGATGATGAAGCCGCAGATGATAGAGATGCTGTTGACGATAATGATGATGTTAAGTCAACACAAAAATCACCAACATACACATGCACATGCACATGCACATGCACACACACACACAAACACGGGCAAACGCGTAACGTCACAACGAGTACGAGTGTGGCAAAGAATGAAGACGAACGAACGTTTGAGGAAGGCAGCTGCAAAGCAAGCAAGAAGTATCTACGTAACTTTGGCAAAACTGTTGCACTGCAACTCTATTTCCGAACCAGACCGTGCGACGAGCACGCAAGCGGGCAAGTTTTTATGAATGCTGGCTGCTCGCTGTCGGCTGCTGCTGCTGCTGCTCACAGCCACTCAAATTCACACTTCTTGTTGCGTCTTCTTGGCGTACTTCTTTATATTTTTCCCAAGCGTCGACGACTCGAAGAGGCTGAGAGAATTCGCGATTTCGCATGAAAAAAAAAAGATACGAATGGCTCGGCTACTCTCGGAGAAACACTTTAAAATTTTGCTATGCTACTCTGGGAGCACAATTATTTGCTTGTAAATATGTACATATGTGTATGTACGTATGAGAATTCCTGGCTTTTCGTGTAATATGTGTATAGTAATGTACATATGCCTGTATGGTTGTGAGTAATCACAATGCCACACTCACGCGACACGACAGCGAAATCTCTGACGACGTCACAAAAGTTCGTTTATCAAATTGACCGCGTTGTTGGCTGGTTGAATGGCTGACAGGCTCACTGGCTGGGTGGGTGGGTGGTTGGGCGCAAATACGTTGGTTGCTGCCTCTGGTGTTGTGTACGTGCAGTAAGCGTAAATATGTATGTACGTACGTAACAATGTTGCGTTGTGCGCGTGTGGGTGCACGCTGCGCGTTTGATAAGCCAGTCAAAAATCGTTCAATTAAACATCAAGTGATTTACACAAAAATTTAATTTAAAAAACATGTGTATGTACATATGTATGCTATTCATTTGCATATTCATTTTCGCATTTCAGCATTACACCGTGTTCACTGGTATTTTTTGCGGTTGTTGTTTTTTATTCGAACTAAACACAATGTTTAATTTAATTGAATTTAATTTATCATTTTCCAACAAACACTTTTTTTCAACAAAGAATGTTTGACGCATCACACAAAAGATCACTTCTTTCGAAATCTGTATGTATGTATGTATGTTTGCACACGTGTAATCCAAAGCGATCCGTAATCCGTAATCCGTCTTGATCAACTGCCAATTCGTTTCGATTCAATTCGAAGTCAATCCAATTCAATACACCAATTCAACAATTCAATTTTCAATTCAATTCAATCAAACCATATTCCGTAAACGCAACGAACCAAACCAATCAACGTACCGGCCGACTCTGACTCTGACTCTAAAACTGGAAAAGTAGAGAACATGAAAACTTTTTAATAAATATACGTGAATATACAAAAACAAGCACAACACAATTACAATTACTTTGAAACGGCTACAACAAACACAATAGCAACAACCAGCATATTTTATTATTATACTTATGCATACATACATACATACATACATATGTACATACATATATCTACTTGTACAACTACTATGCATAATGAAAGGCAAATGGGTAAGAAAATAAAATACGTAGTATAAGAAATATAATATTCGTAGAAGAATTAAAAAAAAACACACACACACACACACACACAAATCAACATAATAATAATAAGAATTACAAAGAAACAAGCTGGAGCGTTTGGCAGCTGACGGTAACGTAAGGAGAGTACAGTACATACATACATACATATACATACATCTGTAGTTAATGCGAGCGTAAAGTGGCGCGGCGGCAAGACGTAAACATCACAAATAGTCGTGGAAGAAATATGTATTTTATTTAAGCAACGCTCGATGTTACCCACTGTCGTAGTCGTTGTCGTAGTCGCTGACGCTGTCGTTGACGTCGTCGCTCGTTGGTCGTCGGTCGTGTAGAAGTGGCGGGTAGGCGGTGGAGTAATGAAAATTTTACAAATACTTAATTCATAGATTTGAACGAAGAGCGTATATTAGGGTGGTTGGAAAATCGAATTTCGGGGAAATCTTGGCTTGTAGAGCATATATGTATGTATGTATGTACGTTTATTTTATTAGTAAAAAAAATAAAAAAATAAAAATGCAGAACATACAGAGTTTTGTTCGTTTTTCACTAACTTGTTCATTTACCTATTCGAAGAAATAAGTAAAAAAATGCCTGGTACAAATTTACAGCTTTAAATTCACTAAAAATATTATTGTTAACGAGCTTTTTTTTTGGAAAACATATTTTTTAATAATTTATTTTAAATGATTGATTGTATCAACACACACCCTAAACCACTTATCGCAGAAACCTGAAACTTATCGAAAATATTGTATCTATTTTAAAATTACATTTAAATTATTTCTTCCAGAAGCAGGCCTTGGATGGATCTATTTGAAAAAAACTGTTTTTATGGTTTGGTTTACCAAATATTTTGATAAGAAAGCTAAATCTTATAAATATTCAACAGTTGAAATATAATAATTTATATGACTTGGAGGAAAACGGAAGTGCGATACGGAAAGAAGATAACCTTCGGGGTTCTACCGGCTACTCCAAGTAGCTAAGAGTATGCATACATACATATGTATGTATGTTGGTAGCCAGGCGGAAAATGTCCTTAAAACCCCTATCTAGATCTCGTGTAAGACATCTAGGAGCCTCGTTGTTGAAAGGATTAGATGAAGTTTCAAAACTATATGTATATCAAGGCTCTCTTCAAACTCACAAACATCGTATACGTAGATTTCAAGAAGAAATGAAATGGATACAATTTTATGTTATAGCCAAGAATTTAGCTTTATTATAAATAGAAGTGAGAGTCCCAATCAATTTGCGACTACTTTTTTGCAGCCATTGCGGCCGCATGTCAGCAATATCGTGCCGAATATTAGCTACGTAGAGAAGCGACTTCACATAACTCCACAAATATAGCCCAGCGTTAATCAATATTTTCCAATTTAGACATGAAAAAATTATTAATCATGGCTCTATAACGTTTCCTATCGACTGTAACAATATGACCGGCTAAGTTTTTAAATAAAATCGACCAATAATTATTTCTCTCCACCAAACAATTTACTTTTTGAGGATGTAACGACGTCTCAACAAGGACTTGTGGATTATCATCACTTAATGACAATGAGACAGTTCTGTTTTATTAACCTGCTAATTCAATCGAAAATCGTGATCTCATAGCCATCTCGTTTTGGACTCATTCGGCGAGCGTGCGACACGCTTGATAATAAAAACCTTGGCTTCGATTCTAGCACAAATTTAATTTTGCAAGCCCGCAAACCAAGATCCTCCCCCAAAATCTGCGAGAAAGTAGATCGGCAGAGCTCCAATGGTAGCGCGCATTGGCGGTTGGGCTCATTCCAGTTTTCTTTGGTATTCTGCTGCACAGCAGCAATTGCGCCTTCGACGTATACTGTACGTCGTATTTGAGAACACACATGATCCACTAGCGTAAACGTTTGGCTCGAATCACCGACTCCGCTGAGTGATTATGTCGACCGAATATTGGTTGCAGCGCGTGTTTCGGTATTATTATTTTGGTAATAAAGTCACAAACATTGTTCCGGAGAAAGTCTGTTCATTATGGAATACAGGAGCTGTCAAAGGGCCGGTTCCAATAAATCATGTAACGGTACTTCTTTACACATCTTATCTCATAAACTGAGGTGCCAGCTTGTGTGCAAACAAACGGACATGGCTAAATCGGCTTAACTCGTCATTCTGACTCGATTGGTGTAAATTTGGCTTCGTGTATCTCTTCTCTGTACGGCACTTACATACTTTGCATCAAAATTAATACACCATTTCGTGCTCATGAAGGGTTTAATAAGAACACTTTTTACAAAAAAAAAAAAATGTAAGAACACCCTAAAGCCAATATATGTATATATCAAATACTAAGTAAGTATGAAAAGTCAACTCGCAAAGGCACAGTCAACTTGCGCGCTTGCCAGCTATCCAGCCAACTAGCTATAGCTACAGCCAGCTAACTAACTATTCAACTATGTGGTACACACAATTATTATTTACTCTTACATATAATAGTACAATATTTCATTGTTGTTGTTGTTGTTGTTGCTGCTGCTGCTGCTGCTGTTATTCCATATTCCATATTCCGTTTTCTTGTACGACTATCCACATAAATACTAGTAACTATTGTACATCTGTACATACATATATACAGACAAATAATTATGAATGTATAAATAAATATATATATATAAAATTTTTTATTTACACGACAACTTGGCTCGCCCGCTTTAGACAAACAATTTCGACTTCAATTTTAACGTTTTCCATCGACAATTTACTCGTGGTCTCATTACTTTGCTTGCTTTCAAAATTTCAATTATTTATACAGAAATTTAAAAATTCCATTTGTACTCGTTTCGTTCCCTATTCAGAAAATCAACTAACCGCCGTCGGCACCGCATACACCCCCTCACAATTGCATGGATATGGTATGTGTGTATGTATGTATGTGTGTATGTATATAGATATACAATAATAATATCAACAATAATGGCAACGTAAACGTAATCATCGTTATGATTATCATCAGCAATGCGCCAACATAATGGCAAAGTAAAGAAACTAAATTGACATATGAATGAATGGGTCGAGATATAAGGCAAATTATATACATACATACATATATACATACATATATATGTACATATACAGCAAATATAGCGTGCGTGTATGTGTGAGTGTGTGTGCTTTCATGTGATTGTGTGTGTGTATATGAGACAGCGTATAAGTCAAGAGACTTCAAAATTGGTGCTGTGAGAAAATATTAAATTAAACTGAAACATTTGTAAATATATGCGGTTGTATACATACATACATATGTATGTATGTACATAAGCAAGTTGGCATACATACATATATGGAGGGCATTCACTTTAAATTCTGTGTATTGTTAATGAAGTATGCAAAATCTTAAAAATAATATGTATTTCGTTTAGGCAAACATATTTGGATCAGCTTTGAATTCACGTTCGAAAACGACTTCCTTCTAATACTACCAATATGGCCCTCACACTTTGTCAGGTGGTTGGCAAAACTTCTCGCACTAAATTTGAAGAATTTCTAGTTAGAAAATTATTTTCATTTCAATAAAATAAAGCGAGGTTCGCGCGCAGCATTTCACTATAAAATCCACATATTTTGAGCAACTCGCACTTTCCGCCCAAGAAAACTTATATAAAATATGTTATTGATCTAGCAGGAATATTTTGCGCTCATAAAGCCGAAAATGTTGGAAAAAATTGGCAGGAAAATAACAGGAAAGAGTAGCAGAAGGAAAAGAGCAGAAAAAACACTGAAAATATTGTAAGGGAAACCGGAAGCGGAAGCTGAATATTGCAACAATGTCAAGGGTGCCAGAAATATAATAGAAAAAACTTTTCCTTGACAATACGGAAAACGCAAAACAAAAAAATAAAAATAAAAATAAAAATAAAAACGATTTGAAAAACCATCGTAAGCAGACCCCAAAGGGTAGAAACGTGAAAATACGCGAAACATGACTCGGACAATCGGAAGCTGAATGTTAGAATGTTCTTCTTCTTAACTGGTGCAGACACCGCTTAAGCGATTATAACCTAATTAACAACAGTCCGTCTTTCATTCCTGCATTGAGCTGTCTGATGCCAATTGGAAATACCAGCTATCGGCTCTGGTCTCTTCAAAGGAGTGCAGTTCTTCCTCTTCCACCAAAAACTTTCAAAACCAGAGTATCCTTATCCAACCGGAGCCCTGCAGCCGCTGCTTCTTAATTCCCTAAACTAAGCCAATATCATTATATATCTCGTAGTGCTTATCGTTCCATCTGCCGCGGTATACCATAAATCTTACGCAAAACCTTTCCACGAAAAACTACTAACGCCGACTCATCAGATGGGAATTATGAGCGACTTGCAGAGCTTGATCTTTGTTCGTCGAGAGAGGATTTTATTACTTAATTACCTACTCAGTCTAAAGTAGCAGCTGCTGGCAAGAGTGACTCTGCATTGGATTTCAAGGCTGACATTGTTTTTAGTGTTAATACAAGTTCTAAGACAGACGAAATTATCTAAGACTTCAAAGTTATGACTGTCAGCAGTGATGTGAGAGCCGAGTCGTCGGACCATTGTTCACCTTCGGACCCAAACGCTCCGCTTCCTAGAGATTATAAAATTAGAAAAAAGAAGCGAAAAAGTGAAAATAGAATACAATGCAGATGGAACAGGAAATTAATAGAACGGAAACAAACGGGAAACAGAAAACTGTAGATAAAAATATTTCAAATTGGAAAGTTATTGTGAGGC